TTGTGACTTTATATGTTGAATCTCCCCGTAGTAGCATTTACATTTTCCAAAACAAAAATTTTTCAAAATTGATCAACAATATTTGAAGCAATATTTCTTGATGTACTTTTACATGTACGTTTCAAATACTAGATAGTATGACATCATTTTGACTGAATGTTTAATGACGATCAAGTAAGGTTTTTTAACATTAGAGTAATGAGATCGAAAAAAGCTGAAAAGTGTTGATTTGAAAAAAAATCAGATTTGGAGGTATCGAGATAAATCAGGTGTGAAGTATAGGTTAAAAGTACATTTACTTGCTCCAATATCGTGATAAAACACATGTGTTTAACCTTTCTCTCATTGAGTAAATGAAATATCATTGTAGAAAAATATGTTTTATAAAATAGCATAAACAAAACTTCTGTTTAATTTTATTAAGAACAGCATACATTTAAGAGCTAGGAATAAAACAACCATGCTTATACATCAGTGTTCTCCCCAAAAAAAAATTTCAACTGGGTGCAAGATTTCAAGTCTAAAAAAATCAGCACTCGCTACGCTCACAATATCTCAGTGTAGGTGCTTACTTCACTCATTCTTTAAATCAGAAGTTGAAGTGCAGATGCCAACTGGGTGCCAACTGGGGGGCCTTTGGTTTCAAGTAGGGGGAGCCCCCGGTAAAAGTGACATGGGGAGATCACTGTACATGTAATCTTATCACAATACATCACCACATTGAAGTTATTAAAATGTAACAATTGTTACAAAGCATGTATGCTGAGTAAAATACATGATCCCAGTTATAAACAATTGAGTGTATTCCTAGGTACGTTTTTGCAAGCAGAAAACCATGAACAATTACCATAATTTAATATTTAGGCACAATTATTCAACACAATCACAATCTAGCACAATCAATGACATCTATATTTCTTTGAGCTGAAATTACCAGTAATCAAATGCATCAATAATGTTGCTTTTTAAAGTTTTTATAAATAACAATAGAGTAAACTTGGGTGAATACACGCCCTGTTTGAATGAAGCAAAGATTCGTGTCATACTGGATGGTTATAATAAATATCAAAATTGAAGAACAATTTCGTTTCGCTGACCAAGTTTACTTTGGCGACGCACAGACAGACATTGCCGGTTGAAATATTCGTCTCATAAATTGGTAAGAATAAGACTCATTTTACGATTAAAAATGAACATTTAACACAATAATATTATGTGAAATCGCTTGATGAAATGTGGTTTTATATTATTGTTAAGTATCAGTGTCATATTAGCGAGGAAAAGTGGTTTCGATAGATCCACAACTTGCATCAAAGGAAAGAATAGCATGGAGGTTAAACTCAATAATGGCCCCAAGAAAATTCCTAATAATAAAGAACGCCGTTATTGAGTTTAACGACGTTGAACTAGGGTTCTGTCTGAAAAGATACAATTACAATATACATAAGCTTCCCCAGAATAAGGGAAGTTTTAACATGGCCCTGGCAAATAAAATCGGATGGGTACAATCATTCTACAAGAAACCTGACTTGCGAGCAGCCAGGATAGATGATGACCACAGGACGGTTCAGAGAACATTGAAATATATTCTTGCACAATACGAAAGGAGTGATCATTCTATTGATAAAACAACCCTGTATCCACATGCACTGTTTACCATGGTACGACTGAAACCACATGGAGGAATGTACAAAAGGCAACGATGCAAGTGCACCCTCTAGTGGTAAATGTTTAGCCGATATCTCACACGATCTGTTACCCTTTGCATTCGTTTGACTTCACTTCTTAAAAGAGAGCTTCGTCTTTAACTAGACTCTGCACGCAGGGTAACGATCTGTGTAAGTTAGGGATGCGCTCTCTAAAAGAAACAACGGTGGAAGTAAGTAGCGAATACCTCGAGAGCCTTTGTGATAAAGAATGCCCGGATGTTCATCTCTTTGAATCAAGGAATGTGGATACTGCAACAAGAATATTCCTACTCGTTGTGTACATCCTATCAAAACTGCACTTCGAGCTCTTATATTGTGTAAGTTTAACTGATTTTTACTGCACATATCTGGTGAAGAGAGAATGTGACCTCGAATACACGAAGCAGTGGATAATCCAGTGTCTAGACACGAAACTTACAAAAAATGATAAAGAAGAGATCTCAAACATCGAGGATAAGACGGGATTGAAAAAGTATTATGATCGAGACGATGAACTTGATTATGGTCAATATTCAGTGTTGATAGATACAGGTAAAATTCTGTTAAGTCTGAAATCTAAAATAAACTCGTGTCAATCACAAATTACAACACAATCTGATACCGTTGAACCAATAGTGTTCACGGAAAATGTTGAGCAAAATACTGAGAATCAGGAACCAACCATGGTTGCATCTCACACAGCGCCTTTGGCATTACAAGAGACATCTCAAGGTAAGAAGCCTGATTGCGTTTGTGAACACAATCTTGAGACAGATTTCAAAAATCTGAAGAGAACTCCTGTCTTAATTAAAATCACTAGGATCAAATAGCTCATGGTTTGGAGTCTAGGATTTGGGCTTGGACAGCCCCATCACCTTAATTTAAGGACGGAGTATTATTTGGTAACAATGAATCTGCTGCCTTCATTCATGATCATGAAATTGGATTAATGAGATTGATAAAATGAACAGGACCATCATGACATCAATTCAAAGAGTCTCTAGATATATCCCTTTGTTGGCATAATTGATTTGTAAAAAGTTTAATTGCAATATGACAAATTTATTAATGTTTTTTGAAACTCAGGGCTCAGTCTAGAGATAAATCAATATTATTTTGTATAAATATATCTGGAATTCAAATTAGCGATACCAATGTGGGGAGAGAAATAAAAGGAAAATTGTTCCAACTGTCATCAACAATGGTGGGCTTATATGGTTGATATTTTCTCAATGAAAAGTGCTACACTCATGAATTTAGGTATCGAGATTAGAATATTTGAAAAATCATGACTCGAGTAAGAGGCATGTGTTTTTATACTTCATAAAAAACATGTGACATTTACACATTTTTTAATACAATTATCAATAGATTAGATGAGATGAAACCAAGGATGAAGTGTGAGTCTATATCATATTTTTATATACAAAAATGGTTGGCAATAAAAATATTAATGTACATAGTGATCTAAACATTAATAATATTATTAATGTAGCTTGATCATTCTGGTTTCCTTGGCACTCAGGGTTAGACAAAAATATATAACTAGTTGACATAACAACTCATGATAATCTTTATTACTATTATATAATATTACATAATCTTACACAATGGATTGCATAACCATTATGTAACGTTATTTTCGCAAATAGGGCTAAGAACCGTCCACTGGCAAGAGAATCGTGCTATAATATTATATGGAACAATATCATTTAAGGAATCAGATCTAGCGCAGGCCAACAAAGAATTGTTTTATTTCTAGAAGATTTCTGGCTGGAAAGCGGAAAACCTCCTATTACCGAGAAAATTGGTGTTTAGAATAGCCGCAATCCATCCAACTCATGCTTATGTCATTTTATTGTAAGATACTGAATTACTGTTTAAAATAAAAAGAGAGAATTAAGCAATTGTGAAAATATTATGTAAAAGACATATACAAACACTTTTTTGACTACATATATTATAAGTTTGGGTGATGGTGAAAAATACCGTCTGGAAGAATGGAACAAAGAAGTTTTCCTTAATGCATCGGAAGAGATGTTATTAGTAAAATAAAAAAGGGGAACCATCCAAACCATAATTTTTATTTAACTATGAATTGTTGAAAAATGTAAGAATGATGCTAATTCAAAATTATGTTATTTGTGACATTATATGGAAATAAAAAATAAGGATAAATATCCACAGTAAGTTACAATGTTGTTATGCAAATATATGTCATATTCCGCAACGAATATGGCATATTCACTTGCGGAGTATGACAGATTCACCCGCGGTATATGGCATACTCTGTACATCCAATTGTTCCAAATACGATCATGACGGTGCTTGGTTGAGCCTTCATATTAAAGAACTTGTTTCCGCCAATGTCCTTTAATACTCAGATTTAATTTTTCCTGAAATTACCGGTCAAAAGAGAGACATCCAAAATAAGGCCAACCATTTCAGTTTTTGGTGTTGAGCCGGTCCATCTAGTCTTCCTTATTGATATCGGTACACTCCTTATACTTCGGTTTTATTTGAAACATGAATAACAATAGTTGAGACATCATACAAGTCTCTCTGACGTCAATCCGGTGCTATTGTGATTTTGGGCCTTTGTGAAAGTGATCATGAACCCCCTTGGAATTTTTTGGGAAAGTGAAACCCCTTGGCAAAAACTAGCTACGGGCCTGAATTTGTTGCTTTGAATATCATACCATTCTCCTAAGCAGGTGTATACAGTAGACTCCATACCTCCTTCCTCCCCAAGTTCTTCAAACCAATTTGGAAGCGCCCAGTTAAAGTGAATCACGTGATCTAATTATACGCCGATGACGTATACATGTGTTATCAATGATATCATTTTTGACCAATAGGTCAGCAACTGAGCACATTTTAGAAAATAAATTTGTCCCCGAAGTTTCTCACTGGATTCATGTAGAGCAAGGTCTTTGGCTTATTTTGAGCTTGGGTTCTCTGTCCTAGCCCCGGCAACGAATGTGAAAATCGGTTCTAAAGGTGGCGCCCCCTACAATTTACCCCCTAAATTTAAAACTAATTATTATTTTCACAACTAAAACAGAGACATCTCAAATAGCTTAAATTGATCAGTGATACATTATAGTATGCATTAAATAATTATGCTACAAAAGTTTCATTGAAATCCATACAATGCATTGGAAAACAATCATATGATTCCTATGTAAAGTCGAGGTTTATGGAATTAGACAACAACGACGCGTTTTCATAAAAAGCAAATAATTTATGAAACTGTTCTAAGATAATCATATCTCTATCGTTATTTTTTCAAAATTTTATTTATTTTCTGTTCAGACAATTAAATGATTAATCACAATGACGAATGATGTACTCAATCAAATTCGTTTCTTCTGTTTAGGAGTTATACGGCCAGTTGCTGAAACATACAAAACACAATAGTAAAACCATCTAATATATTAAAGCACGTGCGTGATAAAAACAACTATACTACTTCGCTTTGTATCCTTCATTTACTGTAACTATTGACAATGTGCATTGGCAGGGACTTAGCAGTATTATTGTTGACAATGTGCAAATGTTCCTGGATGTTGGAATTGAAAATAATCTAAGAACCTCGGACTTTTTGGCAGGTTGGGTCGTACAACATATTTACCTATCTACTATACGGAGAAGTCAAAAATCAATTGTGTTCAATTCTGACGGTTGGTTCTAAACAAAGTAAAACCTGGATTCAAAATATTTCGTCATCCAGATTTATACATGTACAGTTCCGGTTATAAACAAGAAAAACGAAATGCTCAAACATCTCCGAATCACCAGCTTTTAAGCCATATAGCAATCATGATATTCAGTTCCCCTTACTTGAAAAATGGTTCCGGGGCTCTAACAAGTGCTGCGGGAATGTTTGATCCTCTGCAGGTGCATCGTCCCTGGGAACAATGACAGTTTGTAGTACTTGACCACACTTCCTTGTTAACCATCACGGCCTTTGTATCCATCTTTTGAAGAACAGCTCCCACACGACTGTACAATCTACTTATACTTCTATCATCCCGTCCTTTTTTCCTCTCCTCTAAATATATAATATAAATGTCAGTTTTGCTCGCGCACATTGGTTTTTACCATGCGAATACATGTTTTACAGTTACTGGATACACAAAACGAAATCAATGACGGTGAAATACAGGAGATAAATTGGACATCATATGCTATTGAATAGAAAACAAGTTTTGTTGCTTCCATTCTTATAAGTCATGTCTGTTTTAAAAAAGTCCAACAGTTCTGACCTTATTTTCAAATAGTCTTTATGCCAAGATTACTTGTGGGTAAACTGGAAAATGGACGTCATGTTTTCTTAGTCGGCGAGGTAAGTTAAAAATAAGTTTTGAGTCGAAGGAATTAAATTCCGATCGAGAAGCTTCATTTTTACTATAAAATTTGAACCAATATTTTTTGCCTCATTTGCTGAACCCTGGTACAACCATGCACTAACCGGCAACTATAAGGGGGAGAAACGCCTGTGCCTCGGCAATGTATTGATCCCTACGGGCCTTCCAATGAAACCATTTACAACCAGTACAGATGCAGCCAACTTGTACGAAAACGATGTCAAAGATTCTGCATTGACGGTCTGGTTGGGCCCCTGAACCACAGCCTTCCCAGTCACCCCTCCAATATAATTCCTGCAGATCCGTTATGTAAGCATTTATAGCAGCCTTCATTTCATTGAGGCCGGCCTTATTTAGTGATACCTAGAATAAAAGAATAGACCATGAAGTATCATGTCGATTTAGCACGTTCAGGCTAGGCAATTGGGCGCCGTAACCACGAGGTTGCGAGTTCGAGACGCGTGTGCTCCTTGTGTTGATTCATATATCATATGCAATATTTTCATCGATGGAGACGGTGTCATTTTTGAATAACCTCATCTCTGTTTCGAATTAAACAAAAACGACAATTGCCCAATATTTTATCACTCGATGAACAATGCTTCTTTATTAATATATCATAAACGATACCTTAACTCCGAGAGAAATATCTAAGCACATTTAGAACATATTAAAACTAAAGGTCAAGTGGAAAATATCCATAAAATACATATTTGCAACAGTTTATTACACAAACGGGAACTGTTTTTGGACCATAAGCGGAGATGGCCGACTAACTAACACCGGCCATCTTTGGTTGAGGTGCAACGGTTCTCTCCCATTTTACAAACTACGAAACGACGATATTAACCTGGATAGCTCTGTCCATACCAGCAACCTTGGCTTGTGGAAAAAGGACAGACAATGGTTGTAGCTGCCCAGCGAACATCCATGGGTTTGTGTGCACAGTAGGGACCCATTTTTCATAGAACTTAGGGTCAGTTAAAACCCCAGAGCCACCAAAATATCTACAAGAATCATTATTTCATCAAATATTTGTTTTGGCATAAATATAGGACATAGGACAAAAACAGTCACAGTGATCAACGTATTTCATCATCATTTCATATTTCCCCAAGAATGATGTCTAATACCCCGAAACTTTAATAAGCGATTATGTGTAAGTTTACTATTCACTTATATTGGATATGGATTTAAACCTTCGGGTGATGTTTGTGTTCTCAGTGAATTTAGCATCAATTTGAGCTCTTAAAAGTTTAGTATTCACTAATTTTGGATATGGATTCAAACCTTCGGGTGATGTTTGTGTTCTCAGGAATTTAGCATCAATTTGAGCTCTTCAAAGTTTAATATTTACTTATATTGGATATGGATTCAAACCTTCGGATGATATTTGTGTTCGCATTGAATTTAGCATCAATTTGAGCTCTTCAAAGTTTAATATTTACTTATATTGAATATGGATTCAAACCTTCGGGTGATGTTTGTGTTCTCATTGAATTTAGCATCAATTTGAGCTCTTCAAAGTTTAATATTTACTTATATTGAATATGGATTCAAACCTTCGGGTGATGTTTGTGTTCTCAGTAAATTTAGCATCAATTTGAGCTCTTGATGTTCTTACACCAAGCTCAATCAGCCAATTCTTAAATGTTGCCTCCGCGTTTGCCTTCGTTGACTCGGCACTAGTTTCCAACACAAATTCCTTATCCGTCTCCATCGTCATTTTTAACAAACCTTAAGAAAACACGTGCGATAACAAATTAATACAAATGAAGGGCGGGTTGAGTTAATGTCGTTATATTTTACTTGATACATCATACAACGTTTGAATATTTACATCCTTTCCGACGTATGTCAATTTCTTGCACTGGGGAAATGCGTTCTGCCTTGAACTGTTACATATTGTATATAAACAAAAATAGTGCAGGTTTAACACCACATTAACATTCCGCTGGAAGTAAAAATACACTTTTCCAATTACCAAATGTAACAGAAGTCAGTTACCCCCATAGCTGCCTTGCGCGTAATAATGTGTTCCATAAAACTCCACGAATCTATCCCAAGCTTCCATGTTTGCTTCATATGTGTTTGGTAGTATAGTGTCGATGTATTGTCGTGCACCACTGTTTAGCTACAATGCACAAATATTCAAGCACAGGTTTCAAAAACAGAAAGAACACTAAGAGAAAAACATATAAGAGGGCAACTCATGGTCAGTCACCGGAAACCTCCAAAATATCTCTAACTGTGATCGTATGCACAAAAAACATTACAGAGCATTCATCCTTACTACCACAGAACATGTACGTACTCTCCCCTCCATAAGTTTGGCAACCTTTTTTCCCCATGGACTTACGTGTTAAAGCCTCTCTATGTTTGTGAATTTTTATTTTCATAACCTATCAAAAGAAAAAATTGATAATGCAGAGGGACATACAAAACGTATAACTACAATGATCTAACTAAGAGGAGGGAAAGCCCCAGAGTTTAAAGATGACAGACATAATTACGTCTCTTGCTTACCACCTTCGTTCGTTCGAATTTTCATCGGCTAGTTATAAAATGCTACACTTTGATGGGATGTTTTAATTGATAAAGGCATATTCCGTACACCTTTCTTTATCTCGATGTGAAATGAGAAGCTATGATATTGGTTAACACGCCAGAAATGAACATAACATTATTCGAAGCGTACTTCGAAAATTTTGAAACCGCCATTGATGACATCATTTGTTTGTCGACTTTGACCAATCAGAGAGGTATAATATCTCAATACAGGTATACATTATAAGCGTATGTCATCTTTGAACTCTGGTGTTATCCCCCCTCTGGATCTAACTCAAGAAATGTGGAAATTCTTTTCAAAAATTGTCCTGCTTTCTAGAAGCTTTGAGAAGATCTAGATCGTGTTCACTGAGATGAAGCGTTAAGACGTAGTGATACTAGAGGCATGGTTGATGTTTCTATGTGAAAGAAAGGCTCAAATTCTGTCAAAACGTCGAAATTCACGTCGTTGTACTATGTGTTGAGAATGGGGCTTTTACTGTGAGGTTCTCGCAGAAGACATGAATAACTCCCATTATTATTTGGTATTACCTGAGACTAACATAATATTATGTTAGTCTAATGGTATTACTTGGTATCAGGCGCTTCCCCTTCTCTAAATTCCCTACAAAGTCGTACATGCCCCATATAGATCCATCACATGACATTCAAAATGGCGGACAACAGTTAGTTGAATTCCTATATGGTCATATGGGCCTTATATGAACCTATCACATGGACACCACGTGATCCAATACCAATTCTGAACTTGGGAAATCCCCCATGAGATTCTCGCTTGCAAACATAAAAACAACTCATAAATTATTTGCGACTGTAGTCATATCAGATATTACCTGAATCTGCCAAGAGGGTTTTAACTCTGCTCTGAAAGCGGACACAAAGCTAGTGACATCTTCCACGAATTTCTTTTCTGCTGTGATTTTGTGATGCAGTGCGCTATAAGAAGCACTGAAGCCGAAAATACCTGGAATTATTTCCAACTCAACCTGAAAGTTGAGAGGTGAATAAAATGTTACATGTATCCTGAAATGTATCACGAAGCAAATGTTTTCTAGTTTTGAAAAAATGATAAAGGGGTGTCAGAGGAAATATTAATGCGCACACATAAAATGTCTATACTGTCACTTCGAACAACGTTGGATCTTTTGGAAATTACTGGTTCAGAACTACAATATGTATTTACTTCTATTTTATTTTTTCTTAATAAACAACGCATGTAAAACAATATTCAATTTACGTGATCTCAAAATCGTTAAGACATCAGAGAGTCAATAAAATATATATAATACAGTATTCGTGAAGTTGATACCTTTTTTCATAATTAACGTTTGTTCAAGTTTAACAGAAAACATTCGACAGGGTGTTTCAAAGCAGTCTTATTCACCTGGTAATGGGGGAAATTAGAGGAAATTATGTTATTGCAAAATAATTTCTTCTTTTCTAATCATCAAAATTATCAAAAGTTACAAAATATAAACCTTTGAAAAATAGTTGAGTAACACAATTATAAATTTTTCTTACATGATCAGACCATGTTCTTTTAATCTCATTGTAGTCCTTCCAAAGGTAAGAATTAAATTCGAGTATCCCTCTTGGTAAGCTGACAATATTGGCGATCTGATCTGGCTTGTCATAGTTCACCTAGATATCAAAATATATTTTATAACGAATCGTATAGATTCACTGTGAAAACACTGTTCAAACTGGTTACGTCGCAGCCACAGAGGTACGATTTTTTCAATTTCAAAATATACATTGCTATGATGTTTTAAAATGAACTGTGAACTTCCTTATATATAGCTTTTATTTCGATTCGTATTACCTATATTTTTTAGATATTACGTGATACTCTAATTTTATTTGTATAATGAGTTAAAATAGAAGCTTATTCGTTCGTAACATGCTTATGCTTACACCGTTATAAGGATTAAGCCATTTCTTATTTTCATTGCATGAGAAATCCAGAGCAGTCCTCCTCGTGCCATCATCACGTCCAATAGTCAATGGTAACTGATCCAAATAGCCCAATTCAAACCTTGACATTCAAACATGAATGAGCTGCAATGATTTATTCAAAGATCCTCTTGGTACCGTTGTAAACGGATAGGAGGTCCTATCAAATTATGGTCCTACTCTCCATTGATTTATATGGTGACCTAAATACAACTCTTTCCCTCATTATCTTATACGCAATCAGGGCCAGTAAGGGCCGTTGAGAAAGGGGACCATAATCCCCGGGGGACCATCATCCCTTTCACACCGTCATTAGCTCCAACAGGCAACAGTTAGTGACAAAAGACGTACGCACCCCTAATATGGACTTTCAGATATGAAGGATTACGAATACAAAAATACATAATGTAGTCTTAGGAAGTTATCTAAATCATCAAAACCGAAGGAATAATATTGATGACTAACAAGAACGTGTTGAGGTATAATATACGAAATATTCCATGAGCGATGACAGGTTTAGAAAAGGAGAGTTGTAGCGGGAGTGTTGTACATGTAATATATAAAACTCTAAAACAAAAACACAAAAACACCAATTAAGGCAGTAATGTCGAATCTGTTAACTAAACACAAATTTTCTTAAAAGAAATCTATTATATTCAGTTTTTATTTTAGACATAATTTCTTCCGTTGCCACGAGAACTAATGCAAGAACGGCCGGGATATGCGCAAACTGACTGCACGATCGATCAAATACCGTTATGTGCCTTCTTAAGTTCTTACCCTTGACGAAGCTTTAGTAGACCAGGGGGGATTAATTGACATGCCACCTTGGAAGATGCAGCAGCATTATCTATGTCATCCAGCCACTTCGTGAGTGTCTCACGATCTGGCAATGGCTCCAAAGCTGAAGCTGCGCACGCAATCGCAGCCGAAATGAATACAGCTATTAGAGGTGCCATACCATCAAAGCAAAACCAATTCTCAATATGTCTTTATGTGTACTAGAATCATAAGCATTGATATCATCACCAGAGAAGAATTGAAAACGCATATATACATGTAGAGTATTTTCGTCGAGTCCAACTGGAAACACATTACAAAAACCGTAATTTTATTCAAAAATTAACTGGGTGTATTTTTATTTTGTCGTCTGTGAACGTTTTTAGTACTTCCTGGCCTGCCAAAAGACTCACCGCATTCTCATTCTCAGTACTTCGGGAAACATTCAGTTTCAAACATTCAATGGCTGTCATACTGTCAATTGACAGCCATTCATCTAGGTTTTCTCGAATGTGCTGTTAAACCAAATGAATAGTTTGATTTTTAAAATTACTTTGGTTAATTTCACTTTATTGAAAAATCTATAGCTTAGGTTGTCAATTTGTAACAATTTGATTCCCCGACGATGTACGTTCTAACCGTATTGACCGGAAACACACCACGTTCAGATTGCATTCTGTACCTGTTTGTCGAATGAAAACACTCCACTGTTTCCGTCCTCTACAAATTAAACAGTATACTTTCACTGGAGTTCAAAAAAGTGTTTACCCTTAATTATTGTCCTAGACTGTTCAACTGACTGATAAGAACAATGGAACAAGTGCATAATTACATTTGATTAATGCATTTCTAATCAAAATAACCTTCAGTTACAATCATTTTGTCGAAACAAATGTTTGTTGAAATTTTTCGTCTTCACCATCCGTTTCGTAATTTAAAATATAATTTTCGAAACAGGGGACGTTGATCAAAAATCTTATATTCAGACATAAACGTATACAAATCCCGAGATAAATGTTTAAAAATTCATGAAATGCAGTTTTATTAAGATGAAAGAAGTGCATGTTCAAACTTCCTGATTTTTAAAATCCTCTTGATATGATGTGATAACAAAATGTACTCTTTTGTCAACAAGAAATCAAAAACACCTGTAGTTTTCATATGTTATTTCATAGGCATATGTATGATTGGACTGTACTCCAATAAGAAGTAAACTCTTTCTGACAGTCGCAATACAGTAATTTCATACCACTCTCTGCTGGTAACGAGAGCATTGTCCTCTTTACGAATATCCTTTCATTAAAGAATCATTCGAATTCGCTTCTCAAAGCTTGTATTTGCGAATGCAAATTTCGGCTGACGGCTACCGGATTAATCTATCATTTTTCATAAATCAACCTGACATTTTGAAGTTGATTTAACGAACAACCCGTTTATAATCAAGGAACAGTGATCAGTGATCGCATGATTTCTATACCACTGTTACGATCATAGAAAGCCACTAGGTAAATTAGCGAACAGATCGTAGGCCCAAGTCATTGTTTTTTGCAGCTAAAACGGAAGATTATATCATATTGTCACGAGGAATAAACCTGTATTTAATCCCGACCAGTAAATAAGCTTTTTATCCCTTTTTCATAAAATTATTAGTTCAAAATCCATTTCTGATTTTTGTTTGAAACAAAACCAGACTATATACTATTTAGTCTACAAAATATGACTTATTTATGCCATTTTGAAATATTAAACATTATTCGTCAAATTTGATATAACAATACAGCGAGGCTTCCAAGTTTTATTCAATATTCTATATGTACTAAATTTTTATCTCTAGTTTAAGCTTTATATTGTTTGCTTTAGTAACCATTATACAAGGCTAAATGTATTATGGTGATTACATAATGCTTGCTGTCAGCCAAGTCTTTTTAGTAGAGTATTGAGTACCCCTCTTACACCGAGATACGGCGTTCAATTCTTGAGAGATTACATAATGCTTGCTGTCAGCCAAGTCTTTTTAGTATAGTATTGAGTACCCCTCTTACACCGAAATACGGCGTTCAATTCTTGAGAGATTACATAATGCTTGCTGTCAGCCAAGTCATAGGTAGCACTATAGTGGTGAGTATCACTGGTTACAGGGAAGACCGGTGGTCCTTTTTCCATAAAGCTTTGAAATCTCACTAGTCTCGTTTTTACAAGATTTTAGGAGATCTGCATTTTAAGCATTACAGAATCAGATTTCCTTCTATTAGATTGCATATTTGAATTCTATGTGTAAGCAACGTTGATTTACACAGCCATTTACCTTTAATCAAATTCTAAAGCTTTTCAAGTTTTCTGAAAAAGGTCGGACTAAATCCCCATCGACACAATGTTGAAAAACCTTTAAAAGTTCATTTACTGATCATAATCTAAACTAGTAAAATGAAATCACAATCCACATGTCAAGATTATATATTAGATTCCAATGGTGTTTTAAGTTGATCCAAACATAATTACTTGCCAAATCAAGAAATTAAGTGACTCTTCTTATAATTTGCATTGTATTCTATCCCTACCAACACCCATGATGCCATCTATTTTCCATTTATATGGAAAATGGTGAATTCCCCGTCGGAGAGGTTTTGCTTTGGTATGGTAAAAATAGTTATTCTCGTGAAATTATGTAATCAGCGTTCCACAGCTGGATGATTCTAACTGCAGTTAGCTTTCCTTTTCGGTTAAACTCCGATTTCAGCCAAACTAAGTTGAATCTTGTTTCCAAAAGTTTCGCCATGCAAACTTATAAAACGACGATTGTTTTCAACCACAAATGAATGCCCAAACACCCGCAATATTAAAGAATTTTAAAGAAAACGGCTTCAATTAGAATGACTCTAACTGAAGTTGATGATCTACGTCATCATTACGCCATCATCAACTTCAGTAAGAGCTATTCTAAGTGAAGCCTTTTTCTTTAAAATTCTACAATATCGCGATTGTTTGAGCATTTATTTGAGGTAATTTACTATCGTAGCTTTATTAATCTGCATGGCGAAACATTTAAAACCCAGATTCAATTTAGTTTAGCTGAAATCGGAGATTTATCGAACAATTAAGAATTTCGGCAACCATATTGAATAAAGATTACTGCAGTTAGAGCGGAGTTAGAGTGATTCAGTTGTGGAACAGTGGCAATTTCATCAAATCAGCCAAGTCCTCGGTAGTATAGTGGTGAGTATCCCCGCCTGTCACGCGGGAGACCGGGGTTCGATTCCCCGCCGGGGAGGCTACTTCTGGTACAATAGCAATATTTTAATCGATTCTGTAACTATAACTTTGAAAACAGAATATTTGATAATACAATCGCGTTTCTAAATTTTATTGTTTGTTTCGGTAACCAAAAATACGAGACGGAATGTATGGCATTGTAGTTGTATTTCTACCGAGGACTTGGCTTATAGACTACATTACCACTGTTCCGCAGATGGATAACTCTAACTGCAGTTAGCTTCATTCAAGGTGGTTGCATAGATTCTTTGGTTTTCGTTAAACCTCCGATTTTAAAACTTATAAAACTACGACTGTTTTCAACCCCAAATGAATGCCCAAACACCCGCAAAATTAGAGCATTTTAAAGAAAATGGCTTCTAACTGAGGTTGATGATCTACGTCATCATTACGTCATCATCAACTTCTCTTAGAGTCATTCTAAGTAAAGCCAATTCTTTAAAATTCTCCAATATCGCGATTGTTTGAGCATTTATTTGAGGTCATTTACCATCGTAGCTTTATTAATTTGCATGGCGAAACATTTGAAAACCAGATTCAATTTAGTTTAGCTGAAATCGGAGGTTTATCGAACGCGAAAGAATTTCGGCAACCATCTTGAATAAAGAATACTGCAGTTAGAGTCATCCACCTGTGCAAAAGCGGTAATGTGTTCTACCAGTTAAGTCTTCGGTAGTATAGTGTGAATATCCCCGCCTGTCACGCGGGAGACCGGGGTTCGATTCCACGCCGGGGAGGCTAGCTTTGGTACAATAGCAATATTTTAATCGATTCTGTAACTATAACTTTTAAAACAGAATATTTGATACAATTTTCGCTTTTCTAAGATTTATTCTTTGTTTCGGTAACCAATAATACGAGACGGAATGTATGTTGTTGTATTTCTACCGAGGACTTGGCTGATAGACTGCATTACCACTGTTCCACAGATGGATAACTCTAACTGCAGTTAGCTTCATTCAAAAATGGTTGCACATAGATTATTTCGTTTTCGTTAAACCTCCGATTTTAAAACTTATAAAACTACGATTGTTTTCAACCACAAATGAATGCCCAAACACCCGCAATATTAGAGCATTTTAAAGAAAATGGCTTCTAACTGAAGTTGATGATCCACGTCATCTTACGTCATCATCAACTTCACTTAGAGTCATTCTAAGTAAAGCCAATTCTTTAAAATTCTCCAATATCGCGATTGTTTGAGCATTTATTTGAGGTCATTTACCATCGTAGCTTTATTAATTTTCATGGCGAAACATTTGAAAAGCAGATTCAATTTAGTTTAGCTGAAATCGGAGGTTTATCGAACGCGAAAGAATTTCGGCAACCATCTTGAATATACTGCAGTTAGAGTCATCGATCTGTGCAAAAGCGGTAATGTATTATACCAGCCAAGTCCTCGGTAGTATAGTGGTGAGTATCCCCGCCTGTCACGCGGGAGACCGGGGTTCGATTCCCCGCCGGGGAGGCTATTTTTGGTACAATAGCCATATTAGAATATATAGAATATTTGATAATTCAATCGCGTTTCTAAGTTTTATTCTTTGTTTCGGTAACCAATGCTACGAGACGGAATCTATGTAGTTGTATTTCTAACGAGGACTTGGCTGATAGACTGCATTACCACTGTTCCACACAGATGGATAACTCTAATTGCAGTTAGCTTCATTCAACATGGTTGCATAGATTCTTTGGTTTTCGTTAAACCTCCGATTTTAAAACTTATAAAACTACGATTGTTTTCAACCCCAAATGAATGCCCAAACACCTGCAATATTAGAGAATTTTAAAGAAAAGGGCTTCTAACTGAAGTTGATGATCTTCGTCATCATTACGTCATAATTAACTTCAGTTAGAGTCATTCTAAGTGAAGCCAATTCTTTAGAATTCTCAAATATCGCGATTGTTT